GGGCAGAACCGCCACTGCTCCCTTTGTCGGAGCCATCTCTGCGACTGGTGACGATGGTGGCAGGAGGCCGTTTGAAGTGCGGCTGTCAAGCGTCAGATCCCAAGTCAGTCAGGTGCACCGCCCTTGGATACGGACACCCTCGGTGTCAGGTGTGGTACATTCGGTCAGCCTAGCGTTTGGGAGGCGAAGTGCAAGAGTGGTGGGGCGAGGTGGTCTTGAGTAAGGATAGGGGAGTGCCCCGAACTGCCACGAGGTGGGCCAGTTCGGATCACTGCCTAGTGAGGCTCGAGTTCTTCGTAAGGAGCTCGGGTCTTCTAGTAGGGAGCTCGGACTACTGGTTCCTTTGACACCCGTGCCTTGGGTGCGCTGTTTGTCCCGAGCTGTTTGATTTTGCCACGTGGAGTGCTTGCGAGGTCGGGTCAAATCTCCCTTCATCAGTCATTAACCGTTGCTTTATTATTTTGCCAAAACTCATGGTTTAATAATTGTTCAAGTTTAGTATTTTCACCTAACAAAAATGGATGTTCAGCATGTGCAATGTATTTTGCTAATCATTGCCTAATTTTTTTTGAGAACATATAACCCTACCCAATTTGTGTTTGTGTTGTTTCTCTCCCTTCTTCTTCTTTTTTTTCTTTCTCATGGGTGAGCAAATGTCTACCCAAATGGCGAGTGCCACCCTTGCTACAATAGCTAGTCTTTCCAACATTTTTGGCAAGCAACTCTTTTTTCCCTTCCCCTCAACCTCCTCTACTTTACCCTACTTTAAATATTTTCCAAACCAGGTTAATCAACTTAGAGGCCCTCTTTTTTCTTTCCCCACTAGGGGTGGAAGTTCCATCAATATCAATAGCATCCATATCGGTTCTAACACTATCACGATGCAACTGAGGATCGTCAACATTGAACATGTTGGGGAATTAGTTTTAGGAGGAGCTAGCCAGTTTTTTAATTCTAAAAAAAATAAAAATTAATTTACTTGGACTTACCTGGATTACCGGTTCGGAATCCAAGAGTCCAAGCCTCCCAAATTGCTAACTTGAGATTGAAACTTCAATAAAGTTGAGAATTGGAGAATCAATCAATCAGAGTTCAAAGAATTTATGAGAGATTGGGACATTGAAACTTAAGAGAATATGAGAACTAGAGAAGAGAGATTAAGAGAATTGTTGAATTGGTGTGATGAATTGTGGAGGATAAAGCTATTTATAAGAATTGAAAATAATTCAATTGTCCAAAATACCCTAAAAACTAGCCATCTTTTAATTGTTTAGAGGGGTATTCCGATCATTGTAAATTTATTTATCACTTTACCCAAAATGCCCCCTAAACTAGTTGTTATATAGCTGTTGGGGGGCATTTGTGTCGTTCTCCCCCCATAACCAAAATACATAAATGCCCCCCTATTTTATAGTTGCTAAGGGGTATTTCTATAAAAAAAAACCCCAAAAGGCTGAAACTAGTCGTTGGGAGTCCCCAATGACTAGTTCTCGAGCAGGTTGAGCGCAGCCTGCTATGAGCCCACGGCCCCGCAGGTCGTGCCACTGGCCGTGCCAGCCCATGGACTTCGATCCCCAAGCCCAACACAACCCGAAGCATCGTGTTAGGCCAGGCATAGCCCGCGTGCCGTCGTGCCAAGTCATGCCGGGCCGCAGGCGGCACAACCCTGTTTACACCTCTAGTCTTTATAGTATACACCCTCTTCACTCGAAACAAATTGCCAGTTAGAAATAAAATCTATATATTTGAGAGCTTTGAAATCATCGAGAGCCGACCAACTCCTAAATCCATCAAAAAAAAAACATCAGCACCAAAGGTTTCTCATAGTTATAAATAAAAAATAAATTGAACCCCAAGCCCAGCACGGCCCAGAGCATTGTGTCAGGCCAGGTACAGCCTGCGTGCCCCGTGCCACGGGCCGTACCAGCCCATGGACTTCGATCCCCAAGCCCAACACGACCCAGAGCATCATGTTAGGCCAAGCAGCGTGCCGTCGTGCCAGGTCATGTCGGGCCGCAGGCAGCATGGCCCAGTTTACACCTCTAGTCTTTACAGTATACATCCTCTTCACTCGAAACAAATTGCAAATTATATATTTGAGAACTTTGAAACCATCAAGAGTCGTCCAACTCCTAATCCATCAAAAAAAAACATCGGCCCAGTTTACACCTCTAGTCTTTACAGTATACATCCTCTTCACTCGAAACAAATTGCAAATTAGAAATAAAATCTATATATTTGAGAACTTTGAAACCATCAAGAGTCGTCCAACTCCTAATCCATAAAAAAAAAACATCAGCACCAAAGGTTTCTCATAGTTATAAATAAAAAAAAATCGAACCCCAAGCCCAGCACGACCCAGAGCATCGTGTCAGGCCAAGTACAGCCCGCGTGCCCTGTGCCAGGTCGTGCCGAGCCACGGGCGGCACGGCCTGATTTACACCTCTAGTTTTTACGGTACCTCTTCACCCAAAACAAATTGCCAATATAAGGGCCCGTTTGGTTCATGGTCAAAATCAGAATCATAATGGTTTATTCCCCCTACCTTTTGGTTTCAGGAATCGGAATCGGATTCCAATTGATGTTGCTTGGTTCATGATGAAGAGGCTAGAATCGGAATCAACCATGATTTCCAATTTTGCCCCTAATAAATGTAAATACTAAAAAATGTAGAATTTTGTAGGAAAATACTCAAATTTTGCAGAAATTTTGTAGAAATTTTATAGAAAAAAATTGCAGAAATTGCATCAATTTCTATTATCTCTATTTTTTTCTAATCTTTTAAAAGTGGGTGAAACGAGTAGAATAGAGACCCACTTTGTATATTATCTCTGTTTTTTCATCTTTTAAAAGTGGGTGAAACAAGTAGAACAAAGGCCCACTTTGTAGGGAAGCTCGAGATGCATTTATAAGACCTGACAGGGATTTGGGTGGGGCAATCTCACTAAAAAAGAAGAAAAGGGGAGTGCAAGTGGGTATTGAAGCAATGAAGAGAGAGACGCTATCGCGTACGAACGAAAAACCCACAAGAATCCAAAGGGTTTAGAGAGAGAGTGAGAGAGAGCATAGAGTAGTATAGCCTTGTTGGAAGAGCGAGCTTTTCTTCATACACACATTAACACATAGAGCACACTCGTCGTACACAGCTTCTCTCTCTCTGATATACGTTTCTTTTAATACCTGTGCTGCATTGCATCTGTTTGGAATGGGAAGGGAGATGACACAAAGACAGCAAGAAAAGCTCGAACAGATGAGTTGCAGTTGCAGAGGGAGCAGATCAGAAGCAGAAGCAAAAGCTCGAGCAGACGACATAGACAGCAAGAAGAGTGGTAGCTGATTTGGAGGAAGGATAACGAATAGTATGGAGGTTGAAGGGATTCTTCCTTTTCACAACAACTCAATCGTAGGTTGGATTGGAGGGGATTTTTGTCCAAAAAGAAAAAAAAAAAAGAAACTAAATAGCGGAACAGGAATTGCATTCCGGAGGAGGGGGTCGGGAATGGGAATGGCATTCCGCTACTCATTTTAATTCAGGTCGACCAAACATCCGGAACCGAAATGACCCATTCCGATTCCGAATCCAGGGTCCTATTCCCTCGAACCAAACAGACCCTAAAGATCTATATATTTGAGAATTTTGAAACCATCAAGAGCAGACTAACTCCTAATCCATCGAAAAAAACATCAGCACTAAAGGTTTCTCATAGTTACAAAAAACCATCAAGAACCTTCAACCATTGTTTTCTAAGGAGTAAAAAGGCAAATTAAAGATGGATTTGCTTAATTGGTACTGATCATTGCAATAAATGATCAAGAATGAGTACGCTACAGAAAGAATGAGATTCATCACATATTTGTCCAAATGCAACATGAGTTTTAGCCACACTACATATGCAATAAACAGACCTAATTGGAATGTGATTGGTGATCCACAATGTACATATTGTCTACCAGCCCCTTCCCCAGCAAGAGCTTTATTTGCTGATTCAATCACTCAATTAATAAATAAATCCATACTAGCATCCAATGACCTGGTTTCTCAATGTCCCAAGCAATAGGTTAGCTAGGACAGAGTGGAAGAGGAACCAATGAAATACCAAAATAAAGGAATTGCTATGTCAGCCCTATTGCTATGGTCATTGACCGTTGCTATATTATTTTACCAAAACCCAGAGTTTAATCATTGCTTATTGCTACAATTGTTGATGGTTGCTAAATTATCATACATTTGGGGAATAATGTTTTGTTTTATCCATACCTATGGATGGATAAACTCCATTGCTATATATATAGTATTTAGCCATAGACACGGTGACCACAGGTAGAAGTTAATCAATACAAGCAGTTTTAGCCACAGATATAAAATGTCCATAGCAATAATGTATGCTTTAGCTACGGTCTTTTGTGTCCATAGCCATAGTTTTCATGGCGACATGGTGTTTTGTCGCCTAGTCGTCTACGTGGATGCAGGCATCACCTAGGTGATGGATTTTTTTATGTAAAAAAACATATATCCTAGGGGTAGTTCCCTAGGTTCCATAACAATAGCTACGGTCTTTTGTGTCCATAGCCATATGGCGACATGGTGCTTTGTCGCCTAGTCGTCTACGTGGGTGCCTAGGCATCACCTAGGTGATGAATTTTTTTATGTAAAAAAACATATATCCTAGGGGTAGTTCCTTAGGTTCCATAACCATATTTCCTTAATAGTTATCCATAATTTTCATAAGAAAAGTATAAACTTCATGTTAAAAGTATAAAAATCAACATATTCCAACATATTCATAAGAAGAAAAAGAAGAAAGAAAAGAAAATTCAAAAAAATATAGGGGCTGAAACCCTATTTCTGTTATAGAAAAAGAAGAAAGAAAAGGTAGAAGAAAAAAATGTGTTGATTAGACAACACTTGCTTATTGGTTCAGGTTTTGAAGTCTTTGAGGGTTCACAGCATTTCGCAATGCTCGTGTTGAATATATTAAACACACAAAATGAATATTTTAGTTTATCTATTTTATAATTATAAACACACTTGGGTGGGTGTTTTTACCTCTTTTATCTCAGGAAGGCTAGGGTTTAATTTGCGTCAACTTTGGGTTGGTTTTTTCTGTTTCTTCAGGTATTTTTTATACCTTGTTTTATTTTTTATTTATCTTCAAAAAACAATTTTAGGAATTCCATTGACTGTGGTTTGTTTAGTATTAGAAAAAAAAAATCATCCTTTGATCCTCATGTTCTTTAAAACTCCAAGGCAAGCTTCTTTTACCACCACATAAAAGGGATTGTCTTTGTTTTTGTTAGAGTCTTCATGGTAAGCAGCCGAGACACCAAAAAAAGTTTGAGAATTAGTTTTGAATAAAACTTAGGAGTTAGGAATCAACTATCTCTCTTTCTCCTATATTTCTATTATATATTTCTGATATTAGTGCGAGGTCTGAATATCATCCCTCTCCTTAGCATGTATGGAACTGTGGAAAGATAAAATCAACCATAATATTCTAAGCCATGACTCGTAAGTTGCATCAATTTTGTTTTCTTTTTCATCCATTTCTTCTAAAAGAGCCAGGTTGATGATGGTCAAGCAATTGAAAAGTTAACAATCCTAAGACCAATGCCTAATTCCCTAGGAAGACAGCCCCACCAACAAAAGCACAATAGATCTAGCTTAACCCACTTAGCTTGCTACAATGTAGATTATGATCAAACACCAAAAGGGGTAAAGGATTGACTTAGGGGAAACCTTTCCTAAATGAATTATATACCAACTATAAGAATCTCATGGTACCAATTTCTACAAAAGCCAATAAATCCAAGGAGGCAATAATGCATGGAACCCTAATCAGGAAGATAATTGGCAGGTGGAGAGGCGCATTGCAATAACAGGAGCCTAAAAGAAGCTTATCTCCTTTAGACACACCATCTTTGTTTTCCATTAAAGAAGACTAGAATGAAGAGATTGGCTCGTATAAGGAGACAGGGGGACCAAAGTTGTTGGCTGAAACCTTGATTATTTACCATATAGCAGATAATAAAATATCAGGACCCATAAATTGATGGCTCCTACATAAGAGGGCTTACGGCAAAAGCCAGCATGATCCAATGTTCACCATTTTATTCATGAATTATTTTTTCAGAGCCTGGACTATCAAAACTCAGAGAGTTCAAACAGAACTTTTGACCACCATCCAGAAATTTTCTTTAACATTATGGATTAAAATTTTGAAAAGATTTTTAGCCCAGTTAATCATCAAACTCATTGAATGTCGCCCTGTGTGCATGTGTTGTTCTTTTTGTTTTTGCGGTTTTCTCCTAATGATCTATGGTCATAGAAATCAAAGAAATAGGCATCGACACATTCATACATACCTCAAGCCACGATACACTCCTCGGTCATTGCGCTTGCCTGTTTCGCCTGACGCTGGATGCCTGATCAAACAAAACCAAAACAATAATCACAAAGCAAATCAAGAAAAAAAGATGGACGAAGAGCACCAAAGGATAAGATACTTTACTCACAGAGATCATGATGTGTTTCCTAACCAATTGCACAATTCCGCAACGATATCAGCCACATTCAAACACCAGATTGAAATCCCTAGTACCCAAGAAAACGAAACAATAACACCAAAAGAGGGCGGAATAGAAAGCAGAAACTAGGATTTAATAGGAAAAAGAAAAGATAGAGTAAGGCTTTATAATATACCCCCTGGCTTAAGCGCGACGGGGTTCCACTTCTTCGTCCCAAAGCTCTTCAGTTTTTTTGTAGAAGAAGTGTCGCCCCACTCTGCTGCACTCTCGCCCGATCAGAATCGTTTCCAGGAGATAACCAAAGGTTCCTTCCCTTAATGCCCGATCAGAATCGTTTCCTCTTCTCTCGGAGAAATGGTGACTTTCAGATTTCACCAGCATCAGGTGGTGGGGAAGGCTCTTCCCTGCGAAACAGATGAGCATCCTAGATCCACAGTAAGAAGCTCTGGGCGACCAACGAGGTCCGTGATAAATAGAAGTTCCAGTAGAGCAACGGTAAGTTTTGGCAATTAATAAGATTTTTGAAAAGCAACGGACAAGTTTTGGCAATTAATAATATTTTTGAAACGCAACGGGCAAGTTTGGGCAATATAATGAGATTTTTGAGAACTAGAAATCTGACCGACTGTAAATCTAATATAGGGGCGAAAGAAGCTGCAAGCTCGGCAACGGCAAGTAAGGAAGCTATATCCTGTACCCCCGCCTATTCTAGCACGGTGCCTGTAACTAGATTGTAGGCTAGGATCAAATCATTATGCAACTTATTTATAACCAGGGTTCTCTCTAGCTAGTTCAATCCGTAGATTTAACATCGCCTATACAGGATTAATTGGGGTGGTTGTATTAGCTCTGTTATACAATTCTCTCTGTATTCGGTTAAAAACCCAATCGATAAACTGAAATTTTAAAAATCGAAAAAAAAATGAAAATCGAACCGAAATCGAATTATAATAAAATCGAAATTTTCTGTTCAGTTTTTGGTTAATTTGATTAAAAATCAAATTTAATTAATATATATAATATTATATATTATGAAATTGAATTTCATTATAATACATTATATATAATATATTAATATATAAATATATAATATATTATATATTAAATGTTATATATTGTATATTATATATTACATATTATATAATGAATTTCAGTTAATTCAATTTTTTCGGTTAATCGAATTTCTAATTCTGAAAACTGAACCCGAAAATCGAAATTCATAAAAATCGAATTAACCGAATTGAATTACCCAAAAATCAAATAAATCGAAACCGAAATTTTAGGTTCAGTATTTCGGTTTTAACCGAATAATGCACACCCCTAGCCAATGTTATTTTCTTTTGCACGTCTTATAAGCGCTGGAGGAGCTGGCGTAGAGTTGGCTAATTAATGGGGCCCTCACCAGACACTATAAATGCCAAGTCTCACAAGCTATGAAAACGTATGGTGAAGAAAGTCTTTTTCGATGGTGCTCATCTAAGTTCAATTCAAATATTATTCTTTAGGGTTATGTCTATTTTATCCAATTACAATCTAAGTTGTGATTTAGTGAGAGGTCTAATTTCCTATTCTCTAGATAAATTTGTGTTATTTTTATGTATTTTTATGTATTTTAATGTTACTTTTTTTGAAAAAAAAATATCTTTTAGTAAAAGTTCTCTTATAACAATTCTATCAACCACCTTTGTGTTTTGATCCTAACAAAGGCCTCCCCTACAATTTTGAAAAAAGAAAATACAAATGCCTCATTTCCCATGACTTTCTGATAATAAAGACATTGAAGCTACCAAAATACCCATATCATACATAGACCTGTTCATGGGTCGGGTGGCCTGACAGGCCGGCCTGGCCCGGCCCGACCCCCGGACGAGCTTGAACAGGTATATGGGCCCGCAGGCTTAACTTCGGCCCAAAAAGCCCAGCCCACAATAAATTCGAGCCGGGCTCAGGATTTACCAAAATAGCCCGACCCGACCTACAATTAAACCTAAAAACCCTAGTCGAATACCCCTCTTTTTTTCACCTCTTTGCCTCTTTCCCTTCTTTTTCTAGCTGAACCCTTCTTCTCCACATCCTCTTTCCCTTCTTTATATTCTTTTTTTAATGTAAATAAATTCTTATTTATATTGATTATTGAATTCAAAATTTATATTGAATTTATATTCTTTTTTAATGTAAATAAATTCTGATTTATATTGATTATTGAATTCAAAATTTATATTCTTTTTTTAATGTAAATAAATTCTGACTTATATTGATTATTGAATAGGAAAAAATTCTAATTTTTTTATTAGGTCGGGCTTCGGGCTTTTTATCAAGGCCGGGCTCGGGCCCAAGTTGTAGGCCCGTTGGTCGGGCCAAGCTCGGGCTCGGGCCTAACATATTTCCATTAATGAAGAGTAAAAGCCCGGCCCGGCCCATGAACAGGTCTAATCATACATAATTTAAAGTTTCAACTTTACCCTCCATACTCTTCTTGGACAAAGTAAGGTAGAAAAGATGAAGTGAAGTAAAATTAATGCATCACATCAACATTTTTTATTTTGAATACTGACGAAAGGAAGGTATTTAAACCACTTTCCAACATAATAGATGGGGTTTTTGTTAAGCTCAAAGCATTGGGAAGTTTCATAGGATTGTTAGAAAGCCCAAAGAAAAACCGTATCTTGAACTATGTAAGTTCAGTCCTTATTCCTACTTTTTTTTTTTAATTTCTTCAAAATTTTGAACGTTAATCCAATAATTATATAGTAGATTATAAACATGAAACATCAATTTTTCCTTTTTAAGTTGAGATGGGGTTTGAAACTATCTAACTCCAAAATTTTTCTAGTTAACTAATACATGCCTTATATCTCATAGGGACCATTGTAAATGGAAGCAATTAATCCCTTCAATTGGCTCCTATACCATTGATATCTAAGCAATAATACCTAGTTAAGTGTGGTCATTTTTGTACATCAAATAAGAAAAATGTGGGCATCATATCACTCCAAGTCATATAAAACAAAGAAGGCAATGACACTCTTTGCTGAATTAAAGTAAGAATTGGACAATGGAAGAGATTCCAGCGCTATCTAAAGATCCATTATTTAGCCCTAAGATATGTAGATGAAAAATGCATATTCCAACTTTGTAGATAGGTATGGTTTTTGTTGCCAAGAGTATGTGGAGGTACAGTACATATACTTATGTCCAGAAAACTAACTTGATAAGCCAAAAAAAAAAAAAACAGAACTGAAGGTTCCTCTTGAAATGTGCAAATACCTATTCATGTCCAATCATTTCTCTGTTTGGACAAATGAGATTGAGGCATAACCTAGGTTGTCCTTGCCTTGAAGTATAAAGAGATTTTCAATTTATCACCAGATGGATGTAGGATGTAAAGGATCCTTGAACTCTTTATTACATTATAAGGGAAGCTAGATTTTGGCCTGTAGTATAAAAATCATTCAGATGAGCAGAAAGATCAATGTGTTCCCTAGATGGGCAGGTTGGGTTGGAGGCCTGCCATGTCAGGATAGGTTTTAGCTTATTATTTTATTTTTTTCCTAGGGCAAGATAGTGACTTTGTTCTAGTGTCTCAGTTATTCCAGTATGAGAGTTCTCTTTGTATTCTTTTCCCTCAACTATCAACATAACTTTCAATATCTGTTATTGATAAAAAAGAGCTCCATAAGTGGCATTGGCAATACAAGATTGAATAATAATTTGAAGCATAACCATTGTGCATTTAATAAAGAACTTGAAAGTCAAGCAACGTGAGGAATCGAGGGAAAAAAACATTTCCACCCATACACACTGCATTTGACAAGGAACGTGCTAGCTACCTTGATGGACAGACTGCACATCTTCAACACCATGCCCATGATAGATACCATGTGGTCCAACAGGGCTCTCTGCAGCTTTATCAGTAGCAGCAACCTTAAAGGCAGTGTGAAGAATGCTTGAGCTCCCAAAACCTGGGGATTTTGTGTTTGCTGCTGAAGTAGTGATAGGATCATGAATACTCCAGAGAACAACTGACCTATATTTTCCTGTCATAATAATAATAGTAGCAATAACAATCTTGGCATGAAGTTTATTGATTATTGAAGAAAAAAACTGATGCAATGCTAATACAGGAAAAAAAGGGAAAGATCAATTTCAGTAATTTAGTAGAGAGGAGAAGGAAGCAATTGAAACCCAAAGATGTCATCCAGAAACAAGTCATTCAAGTAAAATGAAAAAGTGCCCCAGTGCCTCCTCTTATCCCAAGTGCAGTGTACAGGAAAAGGCAAATAAGCACAAAAAATAGGAACAAAAGTTCTACACCAAACGAAATTAAGGACCATTTGATAAAAGCTGAAGTAGCTGAAATGAATGGCTTGTTGCGAATAAGTTATTAAGGGGGTTGTGAGCTTGTTAATGGTTAAAGCTGAAGTTAGGTTGACTATAATATGCTTGAAGACTTCATTGTTTAATTATTTTATCCACACATAAGACAAACCAATAGGGCATTCATTTCACTTCAGCCATTATCGAAAGACCCCTTAGTAAGCTATTAATAAAAAGTAACAATTAACATTCGGACAATAATAGTAGAAAGGAAAAAAAGCAATTTCATTACAGGAATCATGCAGTAGTCACATATTATAATAGAAAAAATGAAAAAAAAAAATCCAGAACAATGATAATAATGATGATAACAAAGAAAATAATAATAATAATCATTTATCTGTATACCATGCAAAGAAAAGTTGGAGTCTTTTAACAAATTGCCAAAAATTTATTAAACTTATAAGTTACATAAACACAAGTCCACCAATACGTTACAAATCCACATTGACAAAAACTATTAATGGGCAAAATTTCCATATCACCGGACAAAACAAAAGGCTCTATTGGGCACATGGCAAGTGCAAATTCTGCATTGTCTTGGTGCCCTGTCAATATCTGCAAAATAATACTACATACAAAAATTCAGAAGAGTAGAATGAATAATACATCAATAACACCAGCCCCATCTTCTAGAATAAAAGATAAACTAATACTGATAGGCAAATATAAGCCTTCAAACAAATTGTAAAACTTGAAGTGAAAAGATAGACTAATGGTGATAGAAAAATAAAAGTCAGTCTCATGTAGTATATAGATGACGATTAGGTTGAGCCTCAACATCCCATATGAGAACCCGATTCATAAGTTTCATGAACCTAACCCATATCAAGTTTCGCCAATTTGGTAAAATCAGAAATAAGTGGAACCAATATAATTTGTTTGTGCATAAAATAGGGGTAACAATAATAAAAACATATCCTAAAAATGGTAATGGAAATTGTTGTTCTTGTCAGAGACATTGTTCCCTTTTTTTTAAGTTATTAGAATACCTTTACAAGCCAAGATCAATGAGCTCGTTGATGGAAGCATCTAGACTCACTTGATCTTCCTTCTTGGCCAAGTTCAAGCCGTTTCCCTTTGTATGAAGGGAAGACTTTGTATGAACGGTAGTTTTTGCCTTTTCAGT